GCTGATCCGGAATGGGCAAGGGTCTGAGAAGACCTAACGGGGCACGCGTAGAAGACTTGTTACGCTGGCAGACCTTACAACTGCGAACATACTCTGCGCAGTCATTCTTCATCCCTGGCCAGGTATACGCGCGCATCAGATTGGCTAAGGTCTTTTGCCAACCAAAATGACCTTCTGTGTCGTGGCATTCTCCCAAGATCAAACTACGGATCTTTTCACTATTGGGGATGCACAAACGGTCAAAAACATTAGTCTTCTCGAATAGCAATCCTTCAGTAGTGCGATAATTTGGCTCAGTCTCTGGGGCCTCTTTGACTTTCTTAAGGAGGTCACTATAGAGAGGGTCCTGTGCGTAGGCCTCTCTAACCTCTTGCTGCAGGTCTTTCCCTATATCGAGGTAATGCGCTATCGCCCCGAGGTAATCTGCTCTCCTACTCAGAGCATCCGCAACTATGTTGTATTTCCCCTTGACAGGCTTGAGCTCGAAGTCGTACTGATCTATCTCGGCGGCCCACCTAGTAAGCTTAGGTGTCATCTTGGCCTGCGTCTTTAACCATCGTAACGTTTCATGGTCAGAATAGACTTTGAAGTGCCTCCCAAGGAAGTAGTGCTTCCAGTGGTCTAACGCTTGCCTGAGAGCGTAGAGTTCCCTCTCATAGGTAGATGTCGCGACCTTCTCTGAAGGCATTCTGGCAGACATGAACTCTACATGTCTATACCCATTGCCATCGTCTTGCTGTAACACTGCGCCTATGCCGTACTGGCTAGCATCTGTAGTAACAACAAAAGGCAAGGACGGATCGGCGACCTTAAGGACCGGGTACTCTATCAATGCCTGCTTTAGCTTCTTCATGGCAGACGTGCAGTCCTTGTCCCATTTCCAGATTGTCTCTTTTCTTAGCAATCTGCGAAGGGGCGCAGCGATGGTGGAGAAGTTCCTCACGAACTTCCTGTAGTAATTGGCTAAGCCCAGGAACGAGCGCAACTCTGTCAGTGTACGTGGCGTGGGCCAATCTCTAATCGCTGCGATCTTGCTATCCTCTGGCTTAACGCCATCTCCGTCTAAGACGTGGCCTAGATACAAAACTTGGGTCTTTGCCCAATCGCACTTCTTTGCATTGATCTTGAAATTAACTTCCCTCAACTTTTCCAAGACCTGCCTGAGATGACCCTGATGCTCATCGAGGGTCTTACTAAACACTAAAATGTCATCTAGATAAACTACAACGAATCTCTCTAACCACGGCCTGAACAAWTCGTTCATACAGCGCTGGAACGTAGCTGGCGCATTGGTTAGTCCAAAGGGCATCACTATGAACTCGTAGTGCCCATATCTAGTCCGGAAGGCTGTCTTATACTGATCCTCAGGATGCACCTCTATTTGATGATACCCGGACTTCAAATCTATCTTAGAAAAATACTTCGCCCCTTGCACTCGATCTAAGAGATCGTCTATCCTAGGTAGTGGCTCAGCATTCTTTACTGTAATAGCATTCAGACCCCTATAGTCTATACACATCCTCAGCTCTCC